GTAGGTAGATAATAATGATGTTCAATGTATTGTTAATTGCTCCCAATCAAAAATCAGGTTTCAGTTATCTCTCATATAATGCTTACACATATTTCAACAGATCAGGTTCATTCTCATAACATTTAGCATCTAACTTCACGTCATGAAGCATTAACCAGGTAAACGCTTTCCTTACTAGTTTTCCATATGGTGAATGAAACACGATGGCATCAAACTGTTGCAATACACTTTTAGGGCCTATAAAATTTTATATGAATATTATGTAAATGAAATCAATTGCCATTAGAGAGTTACAGCAATAAATCTGAGTTTAGACGATCTTTACAGAATGGATGAAAATAAAAATTATACTTATATTTTACTAAGGTATTACTCTGATTATTAGAATTGCTGTTGTCTGTATCAGAGAATTTCTTCAAAAACCTATTTCGGTACAAATAATAGCAGTTGTAAAGCGCTTCAAAATAACACCGGATTGATACTTTTCCATCCACTGTTGGATAATTTGTGCCCATATCTCCTTTRTAAAAGTCATATGTGTCGTTCATGTGTGAAGCTCTCAGTCCTATGTTTTTATTAAGTTTAGATAATGTAAAAATAATAAATAATGTTATGGTTATATGAAAATTATATGATTTTATCAATGAACCTCTATCTAACACCAAGGGTGCATTGGGTCCTAGTAGCATTGCCACTGCGCCAGCACCACCTGTTGGCCTTGCTGTACCACGAGCATATGTTGCAACGTCTGCAGCAACAACAATAGCAAGCCGTCCTACAAATAGATGTACGTAAATCGATTACATTATAACATATAAATATTGTTTTATTTATAATGATTTAAAATTTATTAGACAAGTGTTCAGGACAGGAACTTAGTATACTACTAAAATGATCACTGAGGTTTAAGAAGACACCACACCTGCATGACCACATGTGTTGCCGCCTCCACCTTACAAATTCTCAACAGCTAAAACTGTTGCGTGGGGGAACTTAAGTTGACCAAAATTCTAGAATGAAGTGAGAACTTTATGAGTCGTATTGTTTTTATTATTTGGATAACATTAATATAATTTAAGTAACCAGTTTCAGAACATATGATTTTTTTCTTCATTTAATTATTAAAAATTGTTGGTCAGTGCTATCCAAAAATAAAAAAGCTACGACACAGATAAAGTTCTTCCCTATGCATTGTGGAACTAACATAATCCTACTATAAATACCGAAGGAGTTAAGTGATTCTGCGCAAAATAGTTTATGCTATGTTGTACATTTGTAAAACAGAGACAACACGAACGAGGGCGTCCGCTTAATAAAACATTAAATTGTAAACTTTTGAGATTAAGCAAATATGTTTAATTTTAAATTTTAATGTTATAAATAGACACCACGTAGACATCACACGAAGACTTAAATTATTCTTGATTTTTTAATGTTATAATTACAAAACAAAACTTAAAATTTGTTTCTTATTGACCGCTGTTTAACTACTCATAAGATATAATAACAGGGAATACAAAAATAAATGACTTCTTAATAAATATGCAAATGCAAAAAGTCTTGACCCAAAATGTAATGATAGTAATTAATAAATTCACAACTTCTATATTTATATAGTAGGTATATACCATCCCAAGCACTGGACTCCAACCATGCTATTGAGTTGAAAAGGGCAGCGGTACCTCCATAACATGCATTGGTCGAATCTACACCTTCAACATTGTTACAGTTGTCAAATAAACGCATCAACATGGATTTGATACTTTTGGACTTGTCTATCGGTGTTTCAGTTCCCACTTCGAGTCTTCCAATATTTGAATAACCTTATTTGTATTTAAATGTATAATATAAAAAATCATTAGAAACATTTACATTGGAATAAAAATATCTATACATACTTGTTCTTGTACGGTGCATCAACAAACTTACTGCAGTTAGAGACAGTGAGACGACATCTTCACGGTCAGAACAAAATGCCATGCGCTCTTGACCCAAACCGATTGTATACTTGCCTTTAGATACATCATCGTGTAGCTCAAGGTCAGCCTGGTTCACACATCTAGATGGTACTACTATCTCTAAGGCAAGTATGCCTACGTGTTCAGGCCATTTACCTTCGGTGTTATCCATTATTATAGTATGACTTTAAACAAAAATTTACATTTATATACAAACTCATTGGTATTTATAACAGTTATGACATAATTTATGATAATAATTGAAGATAAAATTGATATGATTAAAACATAAATCACTTACAATATTTTACTTCAACAATATAAATTTGAAAACCAATAATTATTTTACTGATTTAATAGAGTAATCGTSAGAAATAATAATAAAACGTTTATATAGTATCTATTGAAATTGTAAGTGTGCAATTAAAAATAATTAATAATGATCAATAAACAACATAATGGGAACTATTATGATAATGTGAGTCAAACTGTATACAATTTTTATTTATATGCTAGAGTATTTATTGTCTAACTAAATATTAATCACACTGTGTGAAAATCTAGGTATTGACTATTTGTAATTTATACACAATTTATTTACAGTTTGAATTTCCCACTAAATATAATGATTAGTAAATTACATATTATATTGTTATCATATGCCAATCAAAAGGTATAAAAATAAATGGATACATTATACAATAAACTTTTGTATTGCTATATTTATAAACTTTCTAAATGATATCGTACAAAAATAATGATTTATAATTTCATTTAAATAAATATTTATATTGAAACTTTGGTGAAAATAAAATATATTTCACATTTTAAATTTCAAATTTCATACATATCCTGCTATACTAAAACTTAAAAATTAAGAAATTAAGAATTTCTCACCTTTAATTTTATATACTAAAATTAAATGTTGAACACTTGAATCCATCCATAATTGATTAATATTAATAAAATTAGGTAAAAAAATAATTAAAATTTCTATTATTTATTTTAATTTAACTTGTTTGGTACAGTATACAAGATATAATCTATACACTGATTATTTTGTTAGTAGCTTGAAATATACAACCTCTCTGTGATAATTGGTTCATAATGGTAATAATGTTAACACAATCATCTATAAACAAATAATAATAACTATATTCTCAATTTATATTTATTCTAAATAAATATTACCAATTCCACTGTGAATATTACCAAATTGTTTTGAATTTGTAGTCTTAAGCATACTTTTTATACCTAATGGATATTGTCCCATTGTCAAAGCAAATAACTATTAAAATAATAATAAAAAAACAATTATTTTTAAATTTATAATTAGTTGAGAATATTGAAATACCTTTTTAATATTTATCCAAGTACACATGAACTCTGGAATTTTTATTGTTGAAGGAAACAATTTACATTGTTCAATGAACATGTTGCCAATGTCCCAGTTTCCTGAAGTTACGATAATGGATTTTTCTTTTTCCATATTAGTGTGATCATTATGCCAATTACAAAAATTGAAGAAGACATCATCAAATGGTGGGCTATTACAGACCATATCCTAATATTCATAAATATAAACAGAATATTAGAAAAAAAAATTGAATAACAAATATATTCATACAATTGTTATGTTATAGAAATTAAAAGCTCTATTTTTATAATAATTATATTGAAATGTATTTTTTGTACATTATAATACTATAATGCATAAATCTTTGATAATCTTTTAAATAATATTTTGTGGGTTTTTATGGGGCCGAATATATATTATCTGGTCTCAGGGCAAAAGTTCTGGAAAATTTATAGTATATTTATTAGTAAAATTTCTAAGAATAGCCCTAAAATCCCCTTGGTTCATGAGAAATAAACAACTACACAACGATATGGGCCTACCACACCTATCTACCTGGATAACACAACAATTAAAAAATTGCCACGAAAGACTTCACAATGTTAACGGTGCACTTCACTACAAAATCGGCAGAAGATCCACCAATTTAAGACTCAAACCTTGGCTACCTCAGGATATCCTACTAGAACCGAATGAAAACACTTCAACCTCAGATTCTGACGTAGACTCATAAGGTAACCAAAATTTAAAAATATTATAGTAAATGTAAGGCCACTTTAGCTACCCAGCACATTTTTTGAATTTTTATTTCGAAATTACGCATTTCTGGGAGTTAAGAACAATGGTGCAAAAAAAACTGCGCGGACGCAGTCAGTTATTTATTAGTTTAGTTAGTTTAATAGTAATTCTAACAAATTGAATTACAAAKCTTAACATAAGAAACATTGATTTTGAAATACATACTTGCGTAATACCAGTCAAATGTGTACAATATTCTGTCAGCACTGGATGAATTATAGGTTTAACATATGAATGAAAACACGATACTACTTTGAAATCTCCTTTGGTCATGTTAAGTTCTACAAGTATACACGGGAATTCAATTATTTCCTAAAACAAATATATTAAGAACTATTAATATTATATTATCCAGTTAAACAGTAAGTAAAAGACAATTTTAATATGATACATCAAAACAATTTATTATTATAAAAATCCTTTATTTTACCTGATTATCATTGATATGTATTGGATATAACGAAATTGTCTTAATATATATTGTAAATTAGGATTTTATGATTCTAGACATACAATTTTTAAGTATTTAACAAATTTGAATACATAATTAATATGGTTGGGTACAGTGGCGCCCAYGTAGGGTACCAAGTGGTGCAATTGCACTGGTTTCTCGTAGGTCCCGGGGCCTACATACATTCGGGGAACCCACTCTGGTTTCTTGATCAGACACTATAAATACATAACTATTCATCTGGTCCATCTGAATATTTAGATCGTTGAATAAAGYGTAAAGAGTTGGCAGTGCCAAATATGCAAACAAAAAAATTTGGGGCCCTATAGTTATAACTGCACTGGTTCGTGGAAAACCTGTGGACGCCACTGGTTGGGTATATTTGTTTAATAACTRTATAGGTACCTAAGCTTAAAAAAAAATATAGCAGTAACCTTATATATTGCCATATTGGAATTAATCATACTATTAAAAGTTAATTTTTAAATAGAGAAATGACAAAAAAACTGAAGTTTTGAGAAAATKTAGACATGTATCTGTTCTAATCAAAATGTTTAGAAGATGGAATTAGACAATTAAACTAGGTATGGAAACAATTATTATTCATTAGTAATTACTACATTTAATCATCTATCTCACTTTTAATTCGCCTACGATAAAGAAGGTAAATTAATTTCTACATCCATATATACTGAACCTGAGGTTTTAGTAAATTAGCCCCGTTGTCACACGTAGCTTCAAAATCTAAGACAAAAAACTTAGAATATGGTTGTAACACGTTAGGTCTTGTAACTGATTCTGCATTTGGCTTGTTTGTTGACCGGATAAACATTGTTTTATTGAACACCAAATTGTACTTATGAAATAATTGTGGCTGAAATAAGACATTTAACTTCCTCATAATTTATAAAACATTTAATCGATAAAAAATAAAAATATGAAATTATAATTRTAAAGATACTCAAGAAGCCAGAACATCTACTGTTATCATTTCCTGATAAAGTGATGTTTAGTAATCACAATATGTATATTATCTAAAGCAGTTCTAACATAGAACAGTAATGGTTCTAATTTCTAAATTTCATAAAACATTTTT